GCAGCAGGAGAAGAGCCCATCCCCATCCATGTCCCACCCCGGGGGTTGGGATTCTCCCAACTCCATGGACTGTGGTGTCCAGAGGATCTCCTGAATTCCCTGTTTTCCCCACCCCCTTCAGGCTTCCCTGTTTTTCCCCCCTGGCAGCACGAGAAGAGCCCATCCCCGTTGGTTTCCCGCCCCACATCCCAGGGCTGGGATTCTCCCAAATCCATGGACCGGGGGGAGCTGGAGGTGTCCAGAGGATCTCCTGAATTCCCTATTTTTCATGCTACTCCCTAATTCCCTGTTTTTCCCCTCTTGCAGCACGAGAAGAGCCCATCCCCGTCGGTTTCCCGCCCCACATCCCAGGGTTGGGATTCTCCCAAATCCATGGACCAGGCGGAGCTGGAGGTGTCCAGAGGATCTCCCTAATTCCCTGGTTTTCCCCCCTGGCAGCAGGAGAAGAGCCCATCCCCATCCATGTCCCGTCCCACATCCCAGGGTTGGGATTCTCCCAACTCCATGGACTGTGGTGTCCAGAGGATCTTCCAAATTCCCTGTTTTTCCTCCCTGGCAGCAGGAGAAGATCCCATCCCCATCCATCTCCCACCCTGGAGGTTGGGATTCTCCCAACTCCATGGACTGTGGGGACCTGGGGGTGTCCAGAGCAGCTCCATAATTCCCTGTTTTCCTGACCCCCTTCATGCTGCTCCCTAATTCCCTGTTTTTCCCCCCTGGCAGCACGAGAAGAGCCCATCCCCATCCATGTCCCGCCCTGGGGGTTGGGATTCTCCCAACTCCATGGACTGTTGGGACCTGGAGGTGTCCAGAGGATCTCCTGAATTCCCTGTTTTTCATGCTACTCCCTAATTCCCTGTTTTTCCCCTCTTGCAGCATGAGAAGAGCCCATCCCCATCCATCTCCCATCCCACATCCCAGGGTTGGGATTCTCCCAAATCCATGGACTGTGGGGAGCTGGAGGTGTCCAGAGGATCTCCCTAATTCCCTGTTTTTCCCCTTTGGCAGCAGAAGAGCCCATCCCCATCCATCTCCCACCCTGGGGCTGGGATTCTCCTGACTCCACGGACTGTGGGGAGCTGGAGGTGTCCAGAGGATCTCCCTAATTCCCTGTTTTTCCCACCCCTTTCATTCTTCTCCCTAATTCCCTGTTTTTCCCCCTTGGCAGCACGAGAAGAGCCCATCCCCATCCATCTCCCAACTCCATGGACTGTGGGGACCTGGAGGTCTCCAGAGCATCTCCCTAATTCCCTGTTTTTCCCCTCTTGCAGCACGACAAGAGCCCATCCCCATCGGTTTCCCGCCCCACATCCCAGGGTTGGGATTCTCCCAAATCCCTGGACCGTGGGGAGCTGGAGGTTCCCAGCCCGTCCCTCCGGAGCCGCCCGGTGACGCGGAGCATGGGCCAGGGGGACACCATGGAAGTGCCATCCAGCCCCATCCGCAGGGCCAAGCGGGCCCGGCTCTGCTCCTCCGGCACCTCGGTGAGCACTGGGAATGCCGGGAATGCCAGGAATGCCATTCCCAATCCAGGGGTTTGGGCGCGGAGCGGGATTTCACCCGCCTTGAGTTCCTTTCTCGTTCCCAGGACACTTCCACGAGGAGCTTCTTCCACCCCAGCTCCCAGCACCGGGATTGGTGTCCCTGGGTGAGCTGCAGGGAGGGACAGGATTCCCTGGAGGAGGCTGCATCCCACGGGGAAAAGCCCGGGAAGGTGGAGCCGGGCTGGAAAATGGTGCTGGACGCCCTGCTGGGCACCCGGAGGGGCGACGCCGTGCCCGACACAGAGCCGGTGGTGAGCCTGGCATTCCCACATCCATGGGAAAATTTGGGATGGATGGGCTTCCTTTGGGCTG